TTTTTATGATTGGTCCGAAAAATCATAATAAAGAAAGAAAACAAAATATTATTAAAAGGACTATCTTCTCTTTGACGTACGTCAAAGATCAAGTAGAAGTGGGAACTTGTATGACTCTATTATATATAGTTATATAGCTTGAGAAATAATAGGTTTAAAGACACTTTTATCAAAGTTGATAAATCTGACTTTTGGCCAGTTTTGTTACACAACAACGGGTAACACGACTTAACGCCGCGACGTATCTCTACAGGCAAAAAATATTGGCAACAATTTGTAATTTTCATAGTTATTTGAGCCAAATTCTTATTTATTATGTTTACTGGACTGGAGCTGCTTCGGCCGATAGAGTTAAAAGCGAAAAAATTAAATTTTCCTTTTTCCCTTCTACGCGTTTCAACGCTGTCGCGTCTTCATCAGGGAGTCTTTATTCAAACCAGAAAAACAAAGAAACTATAAACATGATTAGCAACTAATATTCGCTGATACAAAAACAAAAAACATAGTTAACGACAAATAATTTACATAAATTTTTTCTACTTTAAACTAACATTCACATAATTATTGTTAACAAACATTGATCACACGATAAACGCTAGCACCAATTAAGTATTTGTGCACAATATAATACAACAAAAACTAGAGAATGCGATTAACTTTAAAAAGAACGTGGACAACACAAACAATGTTTATGCAGCTGTAATTAATATTAAATATAAATAAGAGCATAGGGTTAGAATTTTATTATATTGTGCAAAAATACTTAATTGGTGCTAGCGTTTATCGTGTGATCAATGTTTGTTAACAATATTTATGTGAATGTGAGTTTAAAGTAAAAATTATTGTAAATTATTTGTCGTTAACTATGTTTATTGTTTTTGTATCAGCGAATATTAGTTGCTAATCATGTTTATTGTTTATTTGTTTTTATGTTTTGAATAAAGACTCCCTGATGAAGACGCGACAGCGTTGAAACGCGTAGGAGGGAAAAAGGAAAATTTGTAATTTTGTTTGCCAGATATACGTTTTATCAGTGCACTTGCCGAACATTCGCATTCGCAAAAGCTCCGCATTGATGCGAAAGCGAATGCGAATGTTTAAATTAATGCGGAAGCTCCGCGGTTGCGAATGCGAATGCCAATATTCGCAACAACTTTGGTATGTATGTAAGTATACTAGAGTTGTACATATGTAAATGAAAGCTAATTATATAAAAAGTACAGTAGGTATTAAAAGTGTATTTGACAATCCAAAAGTTTTAATAATTGAAATTGAAAAAGATTTAAATTGTAGTAAAATTTGCCAAAATTTTTAATATAATGCAAAGTATTTGAAATAATTACAAAAGTTTCATGTTTAAATTTAAGAAAATATGTATATGTAATGTGGTGTTTCGCACTGAATGCATCATACCATACGGCTTGTGTCCCGCTCGCTCTCGTTGTCGGTGCTGAAAATGTTGTCGTTGTCTTCGGTGTAGTTGCAAAATATGTTGTGGTGTCTACGCTGATATCGCGCCTTGGCTTAGCGATATATGTATGTGTTTGTCGAAGTGCCGTGGTGCTGTATGCCGTTGTAACGGAATTACCGTCCCTGCAAGAACGTACTGACAAAATTACCACTACACTCACATTCGTTATGTCAGCACTGACCGACAGATTACTTTTCAAATGTGGGCCATTGTGATTGTCAAAAAGAGACAACTGCGTCTGATTATGCTAACCTTATAACTACACATGCGAGAATGAGAGAACCGATTTACTGACTTTATCAGTACTGACCGACAGTTTACCCATTGACTGTTTGCCATTGTGATTGCCAAAAAGAGACATTCGGCTGTTATTATGCGAACTTCATAACTACATATGCGAGAATGAGAGAACCGATTTACTGACTTTATCACTACTGACCGACAGATTATCCATCAAATGATTGTATCTGCAAAAATTTGGCAGAACTGCGAAATTTCTGAACCCACGCGCATTCTTTGTGAAAACTCAGAGGTGAAAAGAAGCATTTATTTAGAAGCGGCATATTAAAAGGAAATAATAATAAAAGATAAGTGTACTATGAAAAAACGGGCTTTTCAAAACTCCTTAAATAAGGAAAAGAGGATTTTCGAATCCAATGTTAAAAAATATAAGGAATTCGCGGAATGTGTGGGAAGTGTGAAAAAAAGTGAATTCGAAAATAAAATTAAATATATTAAAAGTGATTGTGAAAATAGTGAACTTCTCCTCAGGAAAGGCGTTACATCTGACCCTGTACAGTCTGCGTCGACTAGTTCTGATTTTTTAATCGACTGTGACACCGAAATTTTGGGTGGTGATGCAGTTGCTGAATCTTTACCATTAGGATCCTTGCGTGATCCGTCTGTTGGTGAAAATTCTGAATTAGATTTTGAATTAGTTGAACCTGATACTGAGCCTTTAACTTCAGGATCTTTAGATGATTTAAGTGTTGACTCTGTACAAAAAAGTGAAGAAATTAGGCTATGGGCCATTAGGAACAATGCATCTCAAAATGCATTAGATGATTTGCTGAAAACTTTGCGCAGAATAGGAGTTGAAGGTTTACCGCTTTCCGCAAAAAACTCTCCTAAATACAAGCAGGCAAAAGGTTAGCGTTAGGAATATTCCCAATGGCGAGTTTTTATACATAGGTATACAGAAGTATTTTCTTTCGAACTCATTCGATGTTGAAAATATGAAAGAAGTCTTAATCGATGTGGGTGTTGATGGCTTACAACTCTTTAAGAGTTCGAATAGAGTTTTGTGGCCCATACTTGGAGCGCTTTCAGACTTCCCTAATGTCCCACCATTTATGATCGCTTGTTTTTCCGGTTTTAAAAAGCCGGAAAACATTAATAGTTTTATGGCAGATTTTTGCTCAGAAGTGAAGTTTTTAAGAGAAAACGGGGTTAAAGTTGGTCAAAGCCAAGCTTTAAAAAAGTTTAATGTCCGTTTATTTTCTTGCGATTCTCCAGCTAGGGCGTATGTTACAGGTATTATGTCACATAATGCTAAAAATGGTTGCCCCAAATGTTTTCAGGAAGGATTGTATAAAGACAGAAGGGTGTGTTTTTTGAAAGAAGTTGGCCCACTTAGATCAGATATAACTTTTGAATTGAGAACTAATACCTCTCACCATGTTGCCGAATTTAAAGAAAAAAAGAGCGTTTTGGAAGAAGCAGGTTTTGGAATGGTATCCCAATTTCCTCTAGATTCTATGCATTTAGTCGATTTAGGAGTCACTAGAAAATTGCTGAAACTGTTTTTAAAAAAGGCTAATATAAAAAATATAAATCAAAAAATAAAACATGTTGCTCAATTTATTCCATCTGAATTCGGTCGTGTATCTAGAAGCCTTGATGAAATAAATCATTGGAAGTCCACTGAATTTAGGCAATTTTTGTTATACACAGGAATATTTCTTTTAAAAGATTGCATAAATAATGACTCATACTACCTTTTCTTGTTGTTGCATAGCGGTATAAGACTCCTATCAAGTGAGAAGTCGTGTAAGACAGAGGCCAACGTTGCCCAATCACTCTTAAATGATTTCGTAAATTATTTCGGAAGCATATATGGTGATGAGTTAGTTAGCTTCAATATCCACGGCTTGCTTCATTTGTCAGATTGTGTCAAACAGTTTGGCCCTTTAGATTCCTTTTCAGCGTACAGATTCGAAAACTATATGCAGTTCCTTAAAAAACTGGTTAACAAGCCCAGTCAAATTTTACAGCAAATATATTTAAGGCTCAATGAGAGACAAGGACTTAATTCTGATTTTAACAATACTTCGATTGGATCATTTCAGATAAATCCTCTTAAAGAAAAAGACTGTTTTTGTTTTAGTCAAAAAATTGGACCTTTGAAAGCTTTTAACATTATAAAGTCATCCGAGTCAGATAAAATTCATTGTAACGCTTTTCAGACAATAGAAAATTATTTTGAGGAACCTCTTCTTTCCGCCAGTGGTCTGGGAATAGTTTTCGCTAGTAATTTAAGTGCTCAAGTAGTTGAAGTTGCTATTAAAGACATTGACTATAAATATTTTTGTATCCCTAACTCTGGAAAATTTCTTTTGATTCCTCTCTTACACAATTTGTTTTCCGTTTAAATGAAGTAATAAAAAACAATAAAATTAATAAATTTATATAATTTTACATGAGTTTTAACATTAGCAACCTATTTGAAAGTTCCCTTTTTCAAGAGAGTCAGGAGCAAAATGGTAAGAAAAACAACTTTTCTCTAGTTACGCACATGTTTGCAAATTTTTCTTGTCTTAGATCTTGAGTCTATTATACAAAAAAAGTGCTACATAACCTCAGCTGAAAATGCTATGCAGACAACCACGTCAACCCCAATAAGCGGTTCAGCAACAGCACCTCAGGTTGAATCAGGTTCAGTGGCATCTGTAGCATTTAATGACGGTAATTTAAAATTTACCGCTGAATTCAATTTAATATGTATATATTTTTTTTTCATTTCAGAGATGATGGGAATGCTGAAACAAATTTTGGCAAACCAAATGGTGATAGGGGAAAAGTTGTCGACGTTGGAAGCCAATGTATGTAAAAACATTTTGTGCTAATTTCCATACTTTATTATATACAGTGGCTTAGAAAATAATACGAGTGTGACTATTTTACCAGTCTTGGCTACTTATAATTTAAAAATTCATTTTTTAATTCTAATTCCACACTCCTATTATTTTGTGCACCAATGTACATGCGATATTCCTTCAAATACAGTGGCGTTCACGTAAATAGCACACATTTACTTTTTGCATATGTATGTATATATGTATATATAAATATAGTACATTCTATAAATATGTTAAATCTTCCTGAATTGTCCACAAAGTTTTAAACTTCGACTATATGTTTTATGTTATAGAATGTACTATATTTATATATACATATAAACATATACATATATATATATATACATATGTATATATATACTGCAAAAAATAAATATGTATGTGTTAATAGATGTATCTATTTTAAATATTTCTTTTAGCAAACTGTTATACACTCAAAGTTGGAATTTTTGGGGGAAGTGCAGGGAACGCTGATCCACAACCAAGGTGTCATAAGTGAGCAGGTTGAAAAACTCAGTCACGATGTAAGAAATAATTATAAAAATTTAAAACTTATATATAAACATGTACCTTATTTTTTTTGAACAGTACGTTGATAAATCTGAAACCCTTGCCCAAAACACTTTGCTCCGCGAATGCAAGGTCGCGATAAAAAAAGTAGAGCGATCAGTCTGCCTAATGACTGGGGAGTTAAGAGACGACGCCCTTGACGAAGTGGCCAGAATGCTCCCAATCAACACCCTTGAATCGGTATTGGAGGTTGAGGAAAAACTAAAGGAACCTCACTTCGCGCAAGCAATGGTAAAAAATGAGCATAATCTTTCTACCTTCTTATGTTAATATATTCTTTCTGTATGGTTATTTTCTGCAGACAACATATTGTCATAAGCTGAAGGGCACATCTGAGGAGGTCGATGGAGTCCTTCGGAATTTGTTTACAGATACTCTCCTGGAGTCCTTCAATTGGGATGGAAGGGGAGAAAGGCAAGCGTTAGCGAAACTGGATGTTATAGAAAAAGTATTGAGAGGTAAATAAATTGCAAACAAAAATAAGCCGAAGTCATTTTTTAATCAATTTTATTTTTTATTTAGGCGTTTTTTCAACTACATGGTGCCTTCGAGTTTGAAAGAGGTGTGCGAAAGGCTGTAGAGAAGAGCCATCATCGCATGAAGCAGAAGAAATATATATCGAAGAAAAATAGAATACAATAAGTACAAGATAGGGATAGAGTACAACTCCACAACAAGCTTTTCCGGCGTTTGCCGGTTTTCAGGCCTTCACCTACACAATTCAGCTATTTCTGAAAGTCTAAAAAAGCGCTGAACGCCTGAAAAGCTTGTTGTAAAGTTGTACTCTTAAAGTGTAGTATAGTCTTACACTTAGTTTTTAATTTTCTGTTCTTTTATCCTTTAAAAGGCCTTTGACATATTAAAGGACTAACAACTTAAACAAAAAAACGCTAAAAATACATCAATTCTTTGAGGTGTAGTCGTTTCTGTATCAGCGGAAAAGTAAAAATATCAGAAATATAAAAAATACTTTTTTTCTGTCTTGAAATAAGATATACATATGTTATTTGTACTTTTGAAAATTAAATCCTTTTCAAAGCAAAAATTAGATATATTTTTTAAGACAGTAAAAAGTATTTTTCTTATATTTCTGATATTTTTACTTTTCCGCTGATACAGAAACGACTACACCTCAGAGAATTGATGTATTTGTTAGCGCTTTTTTTTTTAAGTTATTAGTTCTTTGAAACTTTAAAGGCATTTTAATGGATTCAAAAACAAAAAATTTAAAACTAATTGTAAGGATATACTTTATTTTCTTAACTAAAACAAACAGTGCCTTACTCAATTTTCCAATTAAAAATGAATAATTTTTTAAGTTAACTATTTTTTGAAGCCCCTAACGTAACAATACACCGCGTGTCAAAATTATAAACGCACCACATATTGACAAGTTTCATTAAGTCTTTATTATTTCATGTTAGTTAGTTTTTTATAAAAATATAGTTTATTCTTTGGTAAAGGCCATACAAATCCATGTTTCTAATTTTGTGTAATGTTTAAAAAAGTTACCAAACCTTGGTAAAAATTTCGAGTATGCAGTTTTGTAGCCCATTTCATTTTAGTGCAATAAAGTGTAAGTTTGAAGTAGCTAGGACTTACCGTTGATTTTTGGTATTTTTTTTTTGTTGCTCGTTTTTTGCTATATAAAATATCGTCTAACATGCATAGTTTGTATGAAAAAATTAGTAACATCAACGGAAAATAAAAAATTTCTTAAAATGAACGGTAAGTCTTAATTACTTCCAACTTGCACTTTATTGCACTAAAATTGAACGGGCTAGAACACTCAAAAACTTTCTTATAACTCTAATTAGAAAGCTTTGAATGGTTATCAAAGTTTGTTGACATTTTTGAACATTGCACAAAGTTTGACACTTGCATTTATACGGATTTTGTTAAAGAATATACTATGATAAACTTAACTATAATTAAGTATAAAAAATAATTTAACTTATATATACATATGTAGTGCCTTTATAATTTTAACACGGGGTATATTTTCTTTTTTAATAGTTTTAAATGAATTGCTTTTACGTTAACTATAGATTTAAGGTATTTAAGATGTAAAAATAAATATTTTTCATGAAAAAATTAAAAAAGTATCATATTTATTAAAAAAGAAAAAAGAATTATCATTTTTGACGTGTTAATGCGTCATTAATGACAATTGTCATCTCTGATAGATTGTGACAGGCTTATGCAACAACAATGACGATTGTCATTTCTGATAGATTGTGACGGGTTAATACATAAACAATGACATTTGTCTTCCCTGATAAATTTCCAATCAGCGCTGACCCAATAAAATGAATGAGAGTGAGTGGTGAAGATATATGTTTGGCTTTTCGGAAATTTCGATGCGTTAGAGCAAGAGGCAAAATCACACGTACACATTTGTTTACATCAGTTTTCGCATAGTGCTCTTAAGAAAATGATACAAACTTTGTTCTACGTACTGACAAATTAATTTCATTGCTGAACGTCAGATGAATGGTCAAATGGCTGACACTGTTCTTGCAGGGGTGGTTTATGGCTTTATTTAGTTGCGTGGTTTTATGCGCCGTTGGGTAACTGGTGTTATCGTTCAGTGGTGGCGTGGTATATTTTGGTGGTACAGTCGCGCATTAAAATGTACAATCTTTCGTGTGTGTTTTTTTCTCTTTTTGTCGTTTTACACTAACTCTAATTACTTTATTTAGTTTTTCAACTTTGCACTTTAAGTGTCAAAGTTTTGTTTGCTATACCACTAGCCACTGTTTTTGTTTTTATATAAAAAAACACTTTAGCCAATTTTATGCAGCAGCCACTGCGCTTATCTCGCATTTGCTAACCGTTTTATTTTTGATAATTAATTTAAAATTGGCCACAACCGATTTATTTGGGATTTTTGAGTTTATTTTTATTGTATTTATTTTTAAAATGTTATATATTTTTCGTTACATTTTGTTTCTAACTTTTATTTTTTATATGTATGCATTTTGCGAGAAGTCCTGTTACGTTCGCCATGTCGAAGTGCAAACTTCCACTTCCGAGATGTTCGCGTATTGCTACTTACACGCGGAGGCCTGGTGTCCGCCGGTGCTGCTGCCGGCCAACGCTCGCTTTCGTAGAGCCCTAGCACTCCCCCGTTGCTGCCGTAATGGGTAGTGCGGCTGTCCTACTTCACCCGGAGCCTTGGTGCTCCGCCGGCGCTGATGCCGGCCAACGCTTGGCTTGGTGCTGCTGGTTGGCACTTGGCTTGCAGCAAATGAGCCCAAAATTTAGTTTTAATTAAAAAGATGACTTTGCGCTTTAAAGTGCGCGAATTGAATGACGCCAATTTATTTTTTCTTCTTTTACTTGGCTGCTATCTTACATATGACAGAGTCGCAATTTAATATCGTAAATTTTGTAAAAGATTAGCATTAACGCGTATTCATATTAGGCGTTTTGTAGTAATATGTAGGGTTGCAAAATTGTGTGCTTGATAGCGTTACAATATAAAATTTGTTAAAAACTATGTTTGCTAATACTTTTTTTCATGTGAATTTGTACAATGGATTGTAAAGTGAAATAAATTGATGATCTACGGAAACGTACTCAACACGAACAAGCGCTATACATTATGAGAGAGAATGTCTCTCTGATCAAATTTATCAAACATGGTATTGATCCAGAGAGTTTGAGGGCCAGTTTCACAATCTAAACTTAAACTGGACTTAAGTTCTAGTTGAGAAAAATCTTAGCTAAGAACAGTTTAAGGTTTTGTTCAAGTTTGCGTTTCACAATGCCAGTATGCTGCTCTCGATAAAAGCAAAAATTCCATACAAAATGACGTACAAGAAATGCCTAAGAAATTTTCTTGTGTAAAATTTTCTTAAGGCAGTCCGCAGTTCTAAAGTTTTTTTGTGAAAAAAGAGCACTAGCCAACCCAGGTTTGCAACAGAAATATATGCCCGTTCCTTTATTTCTTGAGGAAAGAGTGAGGCAACAGTCTGTGAAGTATCAAAAATGTCAAAATTCCTTGGACACACACAAGAAATAATGGCAATTTTTCTTGACCGTTTTCTTGAGAGCTGCATACAGGGCATAAGTACGGAAAATATATTGCTAAAAAGTATGGCACCACCTCAAAAAATGCTTAGTTTACATGTTTTGACATTTCTTAAAATACAAAGCAACTGAGGAGATAGTGTATGCGGTTTGTTTAAAGTGTAGTATTTGAGCGAGGAAATATAAAACATTGAACCATATAAAATTTTCACTGAGAAGCAAAACAATTTGTCGGAAATATAAAATAAATTCTCGAGCCGGCCCCCCCCCCCCCCCCCCCTAACTTTCAAATTTTCCTTATAGACAGTAGTACCTCGATTCTTGCACATACTCGGTACTTGCACACCTCGATTCTTGCAACATAAAAAATTTTTCCATTACGTACTCAGTACTTGCGACATCCAAAAAATTTGAACTCGATACTTGCGACATTGCCTTGTTGCTTTTGGTAACGGTTCCTTAGATTCAATAAAATTCGGGGAAGTCCCGATTTATTTCGGAAATGAATTGCTGTGATTGGCTAATATCTTACGCACGTGTATATTGGGACATTTGAATCAGTTTTAACGGACGATTCATTGAGTGCGGTCTCACAATGGCAGGGGAAAAATTTACGTTGCTTACAATAAAGCAAAAAGCTGAAATTTTAAGGAAGCTAAGTGAAGGATTTTCTATCGATGCCTTAGCCAAAAGACACGTGCACAGGTCAACAATAAACCGCATTAAGAATAAGAAGAACACCATAAGGAAGTTCCTGGCGCATGCTGAATCTGGTCCTGGGAAGAGAAAAACGTTTAAACCTGCAGAGCTTCCTAAAATGGAAAGAGCATTGATGAAATTGTTTGCAAATCAACGAGCCAAGAATTTACCAATCATTTCTGATATGCTTAAACAAAAGGCCAAGTTTCTCCATGCCAAAATTCAGGAAAAATCGGGGGACTTCCATGCTAGCAATGGTTGGATTGCAAACTTTAAAAAAAGATATGGAATACGAAGACTCAAAATATGTGGAGAAAAACTTTCGAATAAGACTCATTCAGTTAATCCATTTTTACAAAAACTGAACAAAAAAAATTGCTGATTTAGGTTTGACCAAGGACCAGATATACAATGCCGATGAATCTGGTCTCTTTTGGAAGCTTTTGCCTGATAGAACTCTTGTGCGGTCAAAAGAAACTTCCGCTCCAGGACATAAAATCAGTAAGGAAAGAATAACTTTTCTGGCTTGCACGAATGCATCTGGAAACCACAGAGTAAAACTAATGGTTATTGGGAAATCATTAAACCCACGATCACTTAACAATTTTACGGATATTCCAGTTGTCTACAAAGGAAATAAAAGTGCTTGGATGACCTTGGCTTTGTTTGAGGAATGGTTTCACAAAATATTTGTTCCAGAGGTACATCTGGTCATCTTTGTTTGTAAAAAATTTCGTTTATTAATTTAAATTTCCTAAAATTGCAGGTAAAAGGGTTCCTTCGTGCCGAAAATCTTCCCGAAAAGGCTCTATTGCTTATTGATAATGCTCCATGCCATCCCAAAGACGGCGAGTTAATGAGTAGTGATGGTCAAATATCTGTAATGTGTCTTCCTCCAAACTGTACTGCACTTATACAGCCCATGGACCAGAATGTTATAAGACTTACGAAATTGAACTACAAAACAAGCCTTTTAAGTGACATCGTTCGCCGTGGAAAAACAATAGACGAATCTCTGCGAAACATCAACTTAAATCACGCAATATGCTTTTTAGCTAATGCCTGGAATGCTGTTAATGTGACCTCCATTCAGTCATCATTTCAAAAACTGTTTGAGGTAACATCCGAATGGGATAGTGAAGATGTCAACCCTCTTTCAGAGTTACGCTTACAGCTTGTTGAAGATACATCCAGTATTCAAGCAATTTCAAATTTGCTTCAAGAAATAGAACCATTGCAGCAAATATCCGATTCTGAAATTGAGCAATGGATTGCTGAACCTATTTTGGAGTCTTTTGAACAAAATGAAGATCCCTGTATCAATTGTGACCTTACTGATGGTGAAGAAACAAACAACGTGGTAGTAAATACGAAGAAAGTTACACAGGAGGAGACTATATCAGCATACAATATTTGCTTAGAATGGGCTGATCAAAATAATGCCTCTTTAGACGATATTATGACGCTCCAGAGTCTTAGAAGCAGCGTAGTACTGAACAAGCGAGCTTGCACAAAACAAACAAAAATTTCAAATTTTTTTAGTTCCACATAAAGTATGTGAGTCTTTCTATATTTATGTATATGAACGAATTAAACTTAAGCGTATTGAATTAAAATACATATTAAAAATAATAAACTTATTTTCCAACCAAATTCTTTCATAAAATTGCCTTTTATTTCATACAAAAAAAAATACTCGCTACTTGCGACAACCTCAATTCTTGCACCGAGCCCTGTTTTCATTATGTGCAAGAATCGAGGTACTACTGTATATATAAAATAGTACCCTGAAATGCCAGCCTAATAGGGTCGAGCCCCCCTAAATTTCATTCTGGCTACGCCGATGATGATAGTGATTCCGAATACGAAGAGGCACGCCAGCAAATCAATTTCATTTGGACCGCAATTTATTCTCCTCTTATTTTCTGACATTTTTGTTAATATATCCCAACAAACACTGGAACAAAAATTTTTAAACGTTTGAGATAATCGTATTTCTCAATTTGATTTTCAGCATTGTTTATCATTTGAAACTAAACATTTTCTCCAATTTTTCTCAAACATTGTTTATCAATGGGAACAGTTTGAGAAACATTTGAGAAAAATTTTTTAGCATTCCGTTCCGTTCCATCGGTGTCAGCATGGCACTGATGTCGAAGTCCATCGGTAGGCTCCTACATCAGTCGCAAAATGGCTCTTCGACCACGTGGTCGCTGTTATTCTCAATTTGTCTAATTTCAAGACAAACTATGCAACTAATTTTTCATTGTTAAACTAACTGAATAAATAAGCTATTAAATAAACTGTTAAACTGCATAAATAAAAATTCCTTTCCCATAAAAACTGTGTTTCTCTTACATGTATCATTGGCAACACTATATAAATATTTAAATGAGAGTGACTGGATTTCATTTCGTTCCGCTCCACTCACGTTTGAGAAAAAGTTGAGAATTCAACATTTCTCAATTTGAAAATAAAGGAAAATGCCATATTAAAAAGTGGCTTTTAGTTTGAGAACGCTATCAACGGTTATTTGAGATGCATTTGAGAACTAATGTTTGAGATTTGAGAAAAGGACTGATTCTCAAATGCACCTCAAATTGAGATTTTACAAAAATGTTTATTGGGATAGTTCAATATTTTAATTATCTTCGCCCAAATATTACACTTTAAATAAACCGCATACACTATCTCCTCAGTTATTTTGTATTTTATTAAATATCAAAACATGTAAACATAGCATTTTTTTTGATGCTGCCAAACTTTTTAACATTAAATTTTCCATACTTAAGTACGCATTGTGAAACGCAAACTTAAACAAAACCTTGAACTGTTCGTAGCTAAGATTTTTCTCGACTAGAACTTAAGTTCAAGTTAAGTTTAGATTGTGAAACTGGCCCTTAGAGATTTGAGATTTTGGCCGAAAGTGCAATTAGTTTATCGAAGATGTTATGTATAAGGTGACTTCAAATACAATTTCTGTCCTCATACTTCTTCAGTAAAGTTTAAGAGGGAAAATTTTTCTGTTATATTTTAACCCTTTAATACCTTACCATAGCGAATCGTTTACTCCCCTATTTTAAAGGTTATGCTAAAGTTAGGGGGTTAAAATATTCTACAAAATATTCAACGCTAAAATTTACTGCAGAAATCTGAGGACAGAAATTGTTTTTGAAGTCATTTATTCCACAATAAATGAACTCCACTTTCAGCTAAAACCCTCCCTCTTCATAATATATATGATTGGTTTGTATTGCGTGACCAGTGTTGTAGTGATACTGGAAACACAAACGTTATGTATGCAGGTACAAAAGCACTTAATAGTTTACTCTAATGCACTATGTAAAGCTAGTTCATCTTCATAGGCTTTGTATTAGCTGTTATATTCGTGTAGACTTTAATATTTATTGGGGAAATATTACACACTAACTCTAATACAAATTTCAATATTAATTCACATGAACTGCTCGCGATGATCCTCGTTATTCTTCCGAAGTTCTTCTTCCGTTCGCTACACACTCCGATGTCGTTGCCACTTGTAGTCATTCACAAGGGTTGCCACATCCCTCCTACTTTTTTTTAGTTTTAGCTTAATCCCGTCTTGCCGATCTTGTGGTGGGTTCCCTGTGCACGCATTCGAAACGGTTGGTGATGAGACATTGACAGCCGGCTCTAGAGTAAATTGTTCCCGTTGAGACGTTCCTTCCTCCTCCGCGCTTGAATTGATGGATAAGCTTTTCTTCGCCGAATCTTGTTCCAATGGTGGAGCTGACGATATATCCGATGCCTCCTCTGAATCACAGGCCGGATGTTGCTTAGCGGGGGCAACTTTCTTAACGTGACTTATATTCCTTCGCAGTATCTTACCATCGCCTGATAGCTCCACCTCATTCCCATTCTTCTTAACCACTACGTATTCAGTCGCATCGAAATTTGGTGTTAACTTGTGCGGGAATACTACATTTTTTAAAAGTACGATATCGCCAACTCCTATATCCGAGCTCTTCGCCCTTCTCGCTGCATCACTCCTCTCTTTCCCCTTGTGATTGTTTATGCAGTCTAGGTCTCTTGCCGAAGAATAAGTGATTTCTTCCGTTAGGTCACGTTTATCTGGGATTTTGTCGCGAATGGTCCTATTAAACATCAATTCCGTTGGTGTAGATCCAGTTGTACTGTGGGGTGTTACGTTGTACATCATTAGAAACTTCTGTGTCTCTGACTTGTAGTTTGACTTACGTAGTTTGGCCACGAGTTCTGTTCTTTGGATCAAAATATGCTAAATTGGCTATTTGAGTTAAATAAGATTTTAGTTTTTGGAACGCTTCTTCCTGATTACTATTCCAGGCGAAAGTACTATTCGACTTTAAAAGTATTCTCAAAGGCTCGGTAATATCTGCAAGTTTTGGTATGAATTTTCCAATATATGTAACTAGGCCCAGAAAACTCCTAACCTCGTCTTTGGTCTTTGTAGCTCGAAATTCTCCGATTAGCTTAACTTTCTCTGGATCAGCCGTGAAACCTTGTTCCGATAACATATGCCCCAGGAATTTAAGCTCTTTCACTTTCCAAGCGCATTTATCCTCGTTTAGTACAACGCCATTCCCATTAAATACCTGCAACACTTCCTTAACAGCTGCGTCGTGTTCTTGTTCAGAACTCCCGAATATAATAACATCGTCAATATTGTTGAGAACGTTCTTGCAAGATGATAATAGTTCTTCTAGTATGCGCTGAAAAATCTCAGGTGCCGAATTAACGCCAAACATTAACCTCTTGTACCGAAATAGTCCCTTGTGTGTAATAAACGTTGTTATTTCCCGGCTGGCCTCGTCAAGCTCTATTTGGTGATAGGCATTTTTGAGGTCCAGCCTCGAGAAAAACTTTGCATTTCTTAGTTTTGTCATGAAAGAGTCGAAGGTGAGCAAGGGGTAGTTTTCACATAGAATGGCTTCATTCGCACGCCTCATGTCGATGCATAGCCTCAGGTCCCCATTAGCTTTGAACACTATGACCACAGGTGATATCCACGGGTTTGGCCCTGGGACTGCCTCGATTATATCTTGGTATAGCGCTTCATCAAGTTTCTGCGCCACTTTCGCCTCTAATGCAATCGGGATGCGTCTGAGTGGTTGCTGAACTGGCCGGACACTACGATCTATTGCTAATTTAACTTTGATGTTTTTAATTTTCGAGAAGGGCTTTTTATTTTCAATGCGGTGCACGCTCAAATCTAATCATATAACATTAAGCTTTACTGCTGAGTCTCGCCCTAGGAGTGATTGGGTTCCCTTTTCAATGATATAAAAGGTAGCAATCATTTCTGTGTTCGTAATTGCGATTGGAGCGTCAAACACCTGTAGGATTTTTAAAAGCTTATCCGCAGCGTACGCCTTGAACTGATTTGGTGAGTGGGATCGAATATTCCATACCACAGCTTTTCTCTTTCGTAATTCCCACCAATCTTGTTCACTTATCAAATTAAAGCGCGATCCAGAATCAGTAACCATATGAATTGTTTGGCCACCCACAGAGCATCTAATCATTTCATCATTCATACCATTGTCAATTTTAAAACAATCGAACTCCCGCATTTCATCAGCCACCAAACCTTCATCCTCATCATTGATACACCGTACTCTAGAAGTTGTCATGCGCCGCCGTTCTGGTTGTCGAAACCACCGCTTTCATGTTCGCATTTGACCCTACTTGTTTTACACCTCACAGCAAAATGACCCAGTAAAAAGCATTTATTGCACTTAGCATTTGTAGCTGGACAGTTAAGAGCTACTAGTGTGTCCTCTACGACCACACCTGTTACATTCAGTATTATCGAAACTAGTTCTGTTAGCAATTTTGTTTTCATCTAGTGGAGCTCTGTCGGAAGACATAGTTGCCGTTTGATTTTTTATTGATTCGTGTACCTGACACATTTCAATAACATGCGACAAATCATGCTCTTTTTCTAATAGCCGTTTCTTAAATCTAAAGGTGCCCACGCGTCAATAAGCTTATCTTTAATATTTGTTTCGATAATTTCTTTTTCAGTCTTACCAAATTGGCATTTTGCTGCTCGGCATCTTAATATCAAAACAAATTTGCCAAGACTCCCGCCTTCCACGGGTTTTAATGACCTAAATATTTGCTTTACGCCGATGATCTGAAAGTTTTTACAGTTGTCAAGGACTCATCCGATGCTATAAATCTTCAAAGGGACCTGGATAAACTTCATTTATGGTGTTTGAAGTCGGGTCTTTCTTTGAATATAACAAAATGTTTTCACTTAACATTTTCTAGGCGTCAAAATGTTATTTCAACACAGTACACTATTGCTAACTGTGCGCTTCAAAAAGTAACAGAGACTAAGGACCTTGGAGTCATGTTTGACTCTAAGTTATCCTTCAATACTCATATTAATTTTATCCTTTCGAAATCGTACTCTGCTCTTGGCTTTATTCGGCGTAACACTTCCGAGTTTTCAGACCCATATACCTTTAAATTGCTTTTTACGGCTCTTGTTCGTTCACACTTGGAATATGCGGTAATAGTTTGGAG